ACACCTTGTACCCAAGGTTAGGGTTTAGGGTTTAGGGTTTAGGGTTTAGGGTTTAGGGTTTAGGGTTTAGATTGAATTCATCGAGAGCGGGGGCTTTAGGGTTTAGGGTTTAGGGTTTAGGGTTTATGGTTTGTTGCTGCAGCTGCCGCTGCTGGTGCAGCAACTCGAATACTGCGCCTGCATGCCCCCCACCTGGCGGACGGATGTGCTGCAGCTGGAGCAGCCGCAGCAGCAGCAGCAGCAGCAGCAGCAGCAGCTGCTGCTGCAGCAGCAGCAGCAGCAGCAGCAAAGGGAGCTCCATTCAGAGCCCAATCCGGTTTCAGATCCCAGCAGCAGCAGCAGGACCATCACCAGCAGCAGCAGCAGCAGCAGCAGCAGCAGCAGCAGCAGCAGCAGCAGCAGCAGCAGGAGGTGTTTATATTTTCGTCCTTTTAAGAATCGTAATCGTTTGCTGCTGCAGCCCCATGGTGTTTTTGCTGCTGTTGGTGCGGAGACAGTCGAAATGTTTATTTTTATAACTTCTCTTTTTAACTCTAATTCTCAGGTGTATACACAACTTCTTCTTCTTGATGCTGCTGCTGCTGCTGCTGGTGCTGCTGCTGGTGGTGCTGCTGCTGCTGGTGCTGCTGATGCTGGTGCTGGTGCTGGTGCTGGTGTTGGTGCTGGTGCTGCTGGTGCTGCTGCTGGTGCTGCTGCTGCTGCTGGTGCTGGTGCTGCTGCTGCTGCTGCTGGTGCTGGTGCTGCTGCTGCTGCTGATGCTGCAGAATGTATTGCTGCTGCTGTCTCCCCTTTATTTTGCTTTCCGTTCGCTTGCTGTCTCCTTTTTCTTTTGTCTCCTTTTCTGTCTCCTTTTTTTGTCTCCTTTTTGTCTCCTTTTTGTACAAAAAAACAAAAAAAAATAAAAAAAAAAATAAAATAAATATTTATTGTGTGCATGCATGCAGGCGTTGGCTGGTGCTGCCGCTTTTTGTGGTTTTTTGGAGGCCGCCATCTTTTTGCTTTTTTTTCATCCATGGAACTCTATGCTGCACAACGCTATTCTGTATTTTATTTTATTTTATTTTATTTTTATTT